AAAACAGAACAGAATTTGTATAAGTTTAGTTTTCTTAATTACAGATGGATTAACACAGAGCACGGAGTTAATGATCCTCATATTCGCTCCTTCACCCGGGTGCAGCGCAGTCCATATTCGGATGTTGGTCGTTAAATTGGTAAGATAAACGGCAAAGAGCGGGTCCAGCTTTCTCTGGAAGGAAATGGGTTGGGAGGACAGGACAGTAATGACAATGCCTCCATACAGTACACGTCTAACGAAAGCAACGAGATACTGTCTTTTACGCCCGTTCAAGTCATCGACACAATTTGGTCTCATCTCGGTTAGCGCGATCAGATCCCCGCACGAGGGTTCGTAGGCCCCCGGGTTTATGCTCCTCTCCAGAGTCAACTGGTACAGAAAGGAGTTCTTGGAAGTTTCGGTTTCTAATTTCTTGCGCATTTTCACGCCGTGTATTTTACGAGACGGGGCCGAGTGCACGCCCTCCACGCACGAACGAAGGTCGGCACGTGTCTCCTCGATGAGTGGGAGCACGAACGAGTTCAGGTAATGTTTCGCAGAGGTGAAAGTGTCCGGGATCGGATTTAACTGCTCAAGTGGTTCAAAACAATGCACATTATTTTAAACAAATTTTAAAAGGGAAGAAGAAAAAAACAGAGTATAAGAAACAGATGGAATTAATGTTGCAAGTAAAAGACCTTGTCTCCGTAAAGGTGTTGGGTCATTATATCAGGTAAGGACCAAGAGAGGACTATGTCGATTAAACCAGGAACTACATCTTCTTTCTTCATCTTGGAACCCACCATTGATCTTTGCCTGTTTACTTATTCATTCGCAGGCTTGTTGGTGTTTGTTTTTCTAGACTCCTCTTTTTGTCCATGTCTGCAGAGGTGTTTATCTCGGAAATGGTGTGAAGGAAGAAAAACGCTTCACTTATTTACATTGGAACTCTTGGTTTACTCGAGTGTTTTGGGACTGTTGAGTAAACTTTGATTTAATGCATGTACTGTATCTTAATTTTCCATTTTATATTTATTCAGATTCTCTTACTATATATATTTGGACTTACTTATATTACTTTAACAAAAAAATAAATTAATTTGGAAAACAAAATGGAGAATATTTGGAGAGTTTAAAATCGAGACCAGGAGAGCTGGGAAATCAAGCGGTGAAGGAAAATATCGAGCACAAAATATTTCCATGAGTTGGCTAGAAAGTAAAAGATTCCACATTTTTTAAGGAAGAGAAGCTAAGTTTGAATTGAATCTATCAAATCTAATGAGATATTTCGTGCATTAATGTTTGCAAAAGCATGTTGATCTACTTTCCAAAGCCTAACGAGAAGACCTTGAAGATCTAGATTTTCGATTTTTGATAAACCTACATTCCTTTTGTAGTTACTGGTAAAATGCAATTAAAATGATTTTTATACATTAGTTAAATTATATATTTAATTTGAAATAATACGTAAAATTATACTAACTGGTAAAATATTTTAAGTTTAAAGACAACGAATATTATATGAATATATATTATATATATAGAGAGGTTTGTGTTTACTTGAAATTGTATGTATAATTTTTCACTAAACACTTTTAATTACTACAAAAAAAATTTATAGATTTTTTTCACTTTTTACCTTTTTACCTTGTTAGCATTGTATATTGTTTTGGAAATAATCTTTCTTTAAAAACATAAGAAAATAATTTTTGTAATTATAATGATTATTGCACGAATATTATAACGTATAAAAATAATATTGATTTGTACTTGTGAATAATTTACTAATAGCTAATTTAAAACAATTAGTTTTACCAACGAGTTTTAACAAATCATTAATAGTATTTGTTGATCAAAACCGCTAATACTATCATCTAATCAAAAAGCTAATGTAATTCGTGTTGTCCAAAAAAAACTATTGTTACCATTTAGTTAAAACATAAAAATTGAAAGAACAATATATAATCTTTAAAACTAACCGTCAAAATCTATACTTATATAAAAAGTCATCTTATTTACTATAAATAGTAGGCAGAAAAGTCAAAGGTAATTAATGTATTCTATTTCTATCAATTTTTTCAAGGGTTAATTGCTAGAAAAACCACAACCTTTGGTTAAATTGCACATAAAACTCAACTTTTTCAATTTTGCACCAAAATTCTAACCTTTTATAAGTATTGCAAAATCGTCTCAAAGTTGGACTTCCAGCAAAGGTGTGCTGACATGGCCGATCGGAAAAGTGACGTGGCCATCAAATTCAAAGGTTTGTGCCACGTGATTAGACATATGCATTTTCCACATCATCGGCCCTCCACGTCACCCACCACCAATATATTAAAAAAAAAATCCTTTCTTCTTCCCCATTTTCGAGTTTCACAGCCTTCCTCTGCCGCCGTTGGATTCTCTAATCCTGCCGGCTAGGGTTCCGGCGGAGCCATACTCCAGCAGTAGGTTGTAAACGATGGGGCCGTTGGCGCCCACGGTCGTCTCCTCGTCGAAGCACCTGATTATGTCGGGGCATCCGGCGAGATTGCCGAGGATTTTCCTCTTCTTCTGAATCGAGCCGGAAAAGGAGACCTCGGCCGATTTGACCGCCATTAATGGGGGGAAGGAGTTGTACTTGGAATTGGGGTTTTTGAGCATGGCTAATAGACAGTGCTAAAACCCCCTTTTCCGATAATTGAGCCCCTGAACCAGGAAACAATTAAATAAGCCCCTTAGGCGGGCCCACCTCCACCTCACGTGCGCCTTGCACGACCTTCGAGACGGGCCGAAAAACTTAGCCGAGGCACGCTCGTCACTCGACGAGTGGATTCATTTAGTCACCACCAAGAAAAATCCGAGGCTCGATGGGTGTCTCGCGAAAACTCTCGATTTTCCGAAAATGAAGAATTTCCCGCCGAAAGGGAAAGTCTTGACGCGGGCCATGTTTGGAGTCAAAGTGCTGACTCTATTCGTTTGCAGTATATTCGTTGCAGCATTCTCGGGCTCGGGGGAGAAGCTGATTGATTTACGAGTTGTCCCTGAGGTTTGCTCTTGGGCCGAGGCTGTTTTCGATCTTCAGAATTTCGTGAATGCGGAAATAAGAAAGGAGTTCGCGGTGTTGAGAGAGGTGGAGAATGTGTACTCGGTGGTGAATAAGTTGTACCTTGTTGTGCAAGATGGTGTTCGGGAGGAATCTGAGAAAAATTTGATAAAAGTTGTGTCGGATTTGGAGGATAAGGGTGAGAAGCTGTATTTGGGGCTTAACGAGCTTGCGAAGGAAGTGGACGTGCCAAAACCCCCTTTTTCGATAATTGAGCCCCTGAACCATAAATTATGTCCAATTATTGACTGACAAGTGGCCTTATTTAATTATTTCCTGGATCCTTAACCCTTACGAGGGCCAACGAGGTAGGGTCCCGAACCGGGCTTTGACAGTCTGCCCGTCCTCTGGTCTTTCAGACCCCGTATCCTGAGCCGGTCGGCTCCATAACTGGAGCGCCGAGGTGCCGACCTCGGGGTATGTCGTTGTCCGCCACTCCAGTTGACTTTGACTAATCCTCAGATCGACACCTTCCAATTGACGTGGTAACCGGCCCCACTGACCGGGCCGGCCTCTCCCGGTTCCCGGTCTTCTCGGATCATTACCTTTATGGGAGCCCGATCTGGATATCAACAAGAATTCAAGTAAAAACATGTCTCATTTAAAATTTAAATTTTAAAATTCCTTATCATTTTGTAACATTTTCGAATGACTTGTTTCCCATAACATTGGACGGAATTAATAATTGCATATAATTCAATTATGATTTCGAATTTATGTCAAGGATGTTTAATAATTGCATAGAATTTCAAAGATGTTTATTTATTATAAAAAAAATTAATTTCTGAAAAAACATTTGTGTATATTTTGTAAAATGTTTGTACAAAATGTTTTACTTTAAATTTATTTTTATAATTTTAATTAATTACATTAATAAATAATATGAACATACATTAAATATTTTAATTACATAAAACAAAAAGAAGAAGAAGACTATATCTATAACTTGTATAAATAATAATAATGACATTATATTACAATAAATTTTATAATAAAATAATATGAGTATTATACGAGAAACAAGATTACGTAAAATTGTTATTTTTCTTATATCAAGGAATAAATATATATAATGAATTCAAATTTATATTATTATAAACATGTGAGCGAGATAATATATTAATTAATTTACGGTCTAGCGCTACCAGACTCAGGTTTAATGTTCTGACAAAAAAAATAACGTTGATAAACAGATAGATGATCAAACTCTATTATTTTTTAGACCTGAACGGATAAGCCCTATGATCCACTCATTTAATATCTCTGTGAATCGCACGAGATACTTAATGAAGAAGTTATGTGAAAATAACTCATTTAGTACTTCTATCCCATGTATCGCACGAACTACGTACTAATAGCTAATGTAGTCCGTATTGGCCAAAACTACTATTGTTGTCGTCTAGTTAAAATTTAAAACTTAAAAGAACTAATATAATTCCTAAAACTAACCGCTCATTACCAAACCGAAGAGTGTCGGTTCTATTGGGTAATTCGTTGGAGAAAATTAAAAATTATTTCTTAAATTTTAAAATAAAAAGGACACATAAAGAAAAACAAAAGAAGAGGGGAAAGAAAAGAAAAAAGAAAAAAAGCGCACCAAACTACAAGCAACAGAGCAAAAAGTGGAGAATTTTTGGTTGGAAGCCACATCCAACCCCACTCGTCCCTAATTAAAAATAGTAAATTAAAATTATAATTTAATATCAACTAACAATTAACATATAAATAAAAAAAAAATGGTCACCTGGTTTTCCTCCCAATCTCAAACACCTTTACCCATCAACTCTCAAAAGAAATAGAAAACGTAATCTTTAAAAAACAGTTGTGGTTCATTAGACGAAATTGGATTTTCGAAAGGATCATCGATCGCGGATTGTCATAATATATTGCGGATCGCTGTTTTTGCAACAACAAATTATCGTCGTATTTGGGATCATGTCTGGGTGTCCGTCTTCGTCGTCGGGATCGGAGGACGAGGATGAAGGGATGGAGTCATACAGAAAAGGCGGGTACCACGCCGTGAGAATCGGCGACTCGTTCGCCTCCGGTCGGTACATCGCCCAGCAGAAACTGGGCTGGGGTCAGTTCTCTACAGTTTGGCTTGCCTACGACACGCAATCATCTGTAAGGCGCTTTTTTCTTAAATAAAAAGTGTCATTTGAATGAAAAGGCGTGGTTTTTCAGTCTCTCCGGTGTGGATATAGAATTATTGTTGATTTGCATTTTGGATTTTTCATATCCTTTCCGGCCACCATTTTCCATGTGTAGGTGACTTTCATTTCCTTTCATCCTTTGTACGTGTAATCTAGAATGAAATCTTAGTATTTTGAATTAGGCTAGTGAAGTTTATGGATCGGTTTGTGGATTTATCCTCAACTGTTAGTATTCGTCTTTAAACTTCAAGCTTTTCATGTTAGAATGGCATCATGGTACTGAGTCAAGATTCATCTTTGAACGTGCTTGTTTGTAGGCAGAACCCAATTTCGCCTCTAAAAAACAAAAAAGAAAGATAATTAAGTAGAGTACTTAGTCAGAAAATTAAAAAAAAGGTAACATTTTTATATTCATACTTGCATAAATGAACTGGATAATGTTAAACTGCAACTTACTAGTCGACAACTTTCTGCAAGAAGTAAAAGATAACTGAAAGCTTAGTTTTGCTGTTTTTAGTTGTCCGAGCTACGTGATATACTTCAATAGTACTTGCACTCCTCTAACTGCTTTTTTTAGCAAATTCTGCATTCCATACATTCTGTTCGTGGCCGCTTACTTTTGGAGAATACTAGAGATTTCATATTCATGGTCTTTCAAATGATCGGAATTATTGTGACGTCAACATCCAGCGCAGTTCTATAACATAATTTGTTGTGGTTTGGTTTTGTAGAAATATGTTGCCTTGAAGATCCAAAAGAGTGCCCCACAATTTTCTCAAGCTGCAGTTCATGAAATTGAGATCCTTTCTGCTATTGCTGCTGGTGATCCCTCGAACACTAAATATGTTGTACAATTAGTCGACCACTTCAAGCATTCAGGCCCAAACGGGCAGCATTTATGTATGGTCCTGGAATTCCTTGGTGACAGTTTACTCCGTCTTGTCAAGTATAACCGATATAAAGGTCTTGAACTGAACAAAGTTCGGGAGATATGCAAATGCATTTTGACTGCTCTGGATTACTTGCACGGAAAACTAGGAATTATACACACTGACCTCAAACCCGAAAACATTCTTCTATGTTCTACCATTAATCCTTCAAAGGACCCAATTAGGTCAGGGATGACTCCCGTCCTCGAAAGACCCGAGGGCAACCCGAATGGCGGAATAACAATAAATAATATTGAGAAAAGACTAAAACAAAGGGCGAGAAGGGCAGTTGCTAGGATATCAGAAAGGAGAGTTTCTGTGGGAGGAGTAGGCGTTGTCCCAAAGCCTACTCGGTGCTTGGATGGGATTGACTTGAAATGTAAGGTTGTGGATTTTGGGAATGCATGTTGGGCCGATCGGCCAATTGCTGAAGAAATCCAAACGAGGCAATACAGGGCTCCAGAAGTTATCCTTAATTCCAGTTATTCCTTTCCTGCTGATATGTGGTCCTTTGCTTGTACCGCGTTTGAACTTGCAACTGGCGAGATGATGTTTACTCCAAAGAGCGGACAAGGCTTCAGTGAGGATGAGGTGATAATGTGCACTTGATTTCATGTTTACGCATATCACGCGTGAGCTTCATTCTACACTTCTTTTTCCTGAAATATTTGATAGGAATAATCAGCCAAGTTTTCGGCATTGACTACAGTCAAATGCTCTAAAAAATTTGTACCACGAGATTCATAGTATAATTTGCTTATTTACGTGGCTAATTTTGGTTGATGTAACTGAAGTATAGAAGATCAGTGAGTAGGGGCATCTTAAGTTGTAGCTCATGGCTGATAGTTTTTAGTTTTAAATGTAGGTAGAAAAATGGAAAAAGCTTCTCGTATTTGTACTCACTTTTTTCTTTGCAGATTTATGAACCCAGTTTACCTGAAAGTGGTATCAGTTGATTTGTGATATGATCGAGTATGCTTTTGCAGGATCACCTAGCTTTGATGATGGAGTTCCTTGGAAAGATTCCACGAAAGGTAAACACATTAGAACTCATATATGCATATAAATACGCACATAGATATAATATTACTTGAACTGCATGCAAGATTTGCTGACCATTTGTCAATGGTTGGAAAAAAGATCGCGACAAGCGGGGCTCGGTCCAAAGATTACTTTGATAGATATGGTGACTTGAAGAGGATTCGGAGGCTGAAGTACGGGTCTCTTGATCGACTTCTTGTCGATAAATATAAATTTTCCGATGCCGAAGCTCGTGAATTTGCAGCTTTTCTTTGTCCCATACTGGATTTCGAGCCTGAAAAGCGTCCGACCGCCCAGCAATGCCTGCAGCACCCGTGGCTCAATATCGATAATCAATCGCATGGTGAGGTAAAGCGTGAATCCAGCGTTGAGAAGGTGAATGTTGGCTCAACCAACCCGCAAATTAAGTTGCACAAGTAAACTTTAGGAATGAAAAACAAAAGTTTCCCACTTGTTTGTCAATTTTTCTGTGGTTAGTTTTCGGGAAATGTTTACCATAGTCGATAGAATATATTTTATTTGTTGACTGGGCTAAGAGGTAAAGTAGACGTGTATAGCAAACAACCACTCAGCTTTGACGCGTGAAAAGATTTGCTACGAGACTCTGACTTGGCTGCCTGATTTGGGACTCTCACGTTGGATTTGTAGAGCATTTCGTGAGAAGGGGAAAGTCGGGGTTGAAGGTGGAAGAATTGCAGATGATTTTGATTGATGATACCTAAAGAAAGAGAGATTCTTCTGGTGTTGCTATTTTCAGTCAAGAAATGTGGAAATTCTAGCTCCAGTAAGTGTGCATATACTTTTTTATAACTGATTATATACCTGAAAATTCTGGCTTTTGAAGGACTGTGATACCAGAAGATGTGTGCTACTACTATTCTTGTTGTAGGGCTTTTTAGACTTTAAATTTTTGCGTTGATTATGCTAATTTTTTCCCTTATATTGATTTCAAAGGCATATTTCGTTCATGAAATGTTTAACTTTGTTGCCAAAGGTAATAATATTGTCTTAAAACTTAAAAAAGACAAACTCTCAGCTTTTAAAGGACAAACTTATTTCATCTTGTTCTTGAAACTGAGAATTTGTGTTGCCCCCTTTAATTTGTATGCTCCAATCTGATGAGGGGTAGCCACCAATTGTAAATGGCATTCAATTGGTTAAAATATTATAACTGATAGATTTCACATGAAATGATTTAATCCTCGAAACTTTGTATGATGACTGGGCTTGGAAATTAGAATGGATGTGGAAATATGGTCCAGGTGCTAAATCAAAGTTGGCATCGATAAGGCTTCTTGTGAAAGATCACAAATGTACTTGGTCTGGCTTTTTGGGGTAGTATTATCTTCTATGTAGAAGTCTTGTTTCAGACTGTTCTTTTTGTTTTTGTCGACTTTAGTTGTTTTGGGAGTAATATTATATCCCTTATGGGAAATTCTTGTTCTACATCAATTCTTTTTGGGCTAGTTTGCGTAATATGATAGGATTATACTGTTGATAGGATTGTACTGTTCAGAATAAATTAAACTCTTGTTTGTCATTCGAGATTGGTATTTCGAATAAGATAACGGACAACTTTTCAAACATTTGTTCTTAAAGAAATAGTTGACAAATTCCAGTGTCCACACAATAACTAGTCGAACCACAATCCAATTGAATCATAAATCCCTTTTATTGTTGCACGCCATGGAGTATGGCCATATTTTTAAAGCCATGGGTGAAGGTTTTTCATCATTGTAGTGAATATCAAAGCCACGCAATCCTGCCCAAGACGAAGAAATTGAACCCATGCAAACAAATCAGGTGGTTTTCCAACCTATGTCGAGGTCCTGGGGGCAAGAAAGACATTTCATTTCTAGAATAAAATGAATCACACCTGACCTAGGTGGATTGAGTTATCATACGTATCCATGATAACTCTCGATTTGATCCCGAGCCAAATGATATCCGAGGGCTGCAATCTTGGTATCGAAACACATGATGTTGGTTGGATTATGGGGTTTATCCCATCCTATATCCTATGTAGGGAAACAAATTGCTTTTGTTTATTTTAATTGTTGTTGGGTGGCTTTGGTTATCTACCATCAAGGGGTGTAGCCAAAAAAAAAAATTTCATTCTGGGCTACAAAATATGTTGTTGTTATTCGAACCGAGTTGTTCTCTAATATAGTTTGATTCGATTTATAAAAGTTTGAGTTTGACTTTCTTGTATATGTGAACAAGCCAAAATCGAACAACTAATCGAGCTTGTCTATCAAACAAGTCAAGTGCTCGAGCGTGTTCGCAAATAATTCAGTTAGAGTTTTGGGTTTTGTTTTAGGTTTTAAGGTTTATTAAATGAATTGAACTGAGTTTATACGAGTTGAACCCAAACGCCAATTTTTATTGTTTACTAAACAACTAAGCCACGACAACTCGTTAATTAAATGAGCACAAGTCATACTTGAAATACTCGATTTGTGCTTTTGAGCGTTTGTTAATGAATATTTTATGTTTGAGGAAAAAAAAAGTATGGGTTGGAGGGGTCTTAGAATGTGTATTTCTCACTTGCTTTCGAGTAGCGCCTGTTTCGCCAGGTTCGACGGTCGCCACTGGCGCCCTACGGTGATCTAACCATGGGTCCTTCCTTTTCTGGCGTTCCCTGGTGTTGGACGGCGGGAACCTCCTGGAGGTGCTTCCAGGTTGTGGGGTGGCTTTGGAGTGTGCGTGGAGGGGGCTGTGGTGGTGGACCGACTTGGATGGGTATGTGGTACTCTGGGGGTGGATTTCGGTTTTGCGGCTCGGTTCAGTTAGCCCGTTTGGGGAGTTGCTGGTTCCGCTTTTATGAGCTGTAGTTCTATGGGCCTCTTCTTGGATGTCTGCGCCTGTGTGTTTGTTCGGTTCATGTTGGCGATGGGGCTGTTGTCCGGTGGGAAGGGTGTTGCTGGGTTTTTGGTAGGTTTGTGTTTGTTGAGTCTTTTTGGTTCTCCCGCTGGGAGCTTCTCCTCTTGTGGAAGTTTTTCCTCATAAGAGGAATTTCGTGTAGGTTTCTGTGTTTTGTGTGTTTGTTGGCATTTGGTTGGCTCTAGACTACACTTCGTGCAGTTCTCCCAACTAGATTAAGTAGATTGGTTGGTTTTCATAGCGAAGTCGTTGTTTTCTAGTGTGTAATTTGTGTTTTCTTCTATAAAGTCCATCGTTCGAGAAAAAAAAACATTTAGAGGATCCATTTTGCTCGGGAACACTCCTAATTCCTCCCCAAATGTGCTGAGCTTATGTGGCAGACTCACATGCTTCGAGATCATATGTGACAATTTTTTAAGCTTTATTGCTTGGCTTGGATGAATTTAAATTATTTTCAATCCAAAAGTAACTAGGTTTGAAATATCCATAAATATACTGGATATTTATGATCCTTTTTAAAAGCATTAATTATGTATTAATATAATTTTTTATTGTAGATGTAGTTTATAAGGTATATTTTTTTTCAAGCTTTTTTTCCTCATATTTTCTTTTAATTATAACAAATTTAAAAGTTAATAATTTTTTTGTTTATTAACAATTTTTTATATATAGTATGTCAAACTAATCATGTCTGATGAGCTTTGATTTAACATTTATATTATACATAAAAAATAAATAAATAAATTTATTTATCTAATTAAAATTATATTATCCATTAATATTAGTTCAAAAAAATAAATTATTTAAATTAACTTAACTACAAAGTAGTCATCTAATATAAATGAAAAAAATTGTAAGTAAATCGTGTAAATGACAACGTTATTTTAAATATAAATAATAATATATTTTCTCAAAGAGCATATAAAAACTAAAATAATTTTTATTTGTTATTATTATTTAATTTTAAATATAATGTAGCAGTGTAGCACGTGTATCGTACTAGTTAGTACTACCTTTTTTTTAAAATGTCATTTTGGTTTTATAAACAATTAATTAAATAAATGATATTTTGAGTCTTTTATATATATTTTTTTATTATTGCTCTTATCAATAAATAGACTACATCTTTTCATATTCATCTATACTTATATTAAAGGGGGTACTATTTACCAAATTAAGTAGCCAGAAAAGTCAACAACATTTATTGCATTACTATTTCCGTATTATACTATATAAAAGGATATTCTATTTACTACATTTACTATCCAGAAAGTCAACTGCATTAAATGTCATTACTATTTTTGTACTATAATATTTTATTTATTTAATTGATTTATTTATTTGTTTTATTTTAAAAAGGTAAGTATAATAAAAAGATTTTAATAATAAAAAAATCAAATACCAAATAAAATATACACTTTGACTTATTTGATTATATTTGGTATTTGATTATACCAAATATATTCCTATTTAGTATACACATTAAATACTTACTAAAGTATATATTCCTATTAAGTATAGATTTGTTTATATTATCAAATAAAAAAAAATATTAAATTCATATTGTAAAAAAAAAATCATATAATTTTATAACAATTCTACTACACTATTTAACAATATTTTCTTTTTATTATATAATAAAATAACAATTAAATATTATATGGTGAACAACAATAAGTAAAACTGTTACTTTCTCTTATATCAAGGGATAAATTTATATGCTAAAATTAAATTTCTATTAGTATAAATGTTTTAGTGAGATAATATATTAATTATTTTACAAGCTAGCCCCAACATGCTCATATTTAATGTTTTAAAAGATGTAGAAAAAAAAACTTATAATAACTCTATTTTTTAGACTTAAACGTTGATTAAAAGGGGTAAAAATTCCTAATTTTTTAAACTTAAACGTTGATTAACACCATAGATTGAGAGTTTATATTTAGTAAAATTCCTAATTTTAATAAAAAAAAATAATTTTTGCTATATTTTAGAATATCTTTAAATTCATTATAAAAAAAAAAGAAAAAAAAAAACTGCAATGAAAAAAGCAAGTCAGCTATATATCGATTTGTTGTACTCCTCAAATCACATTCACAATTTGGCTACAAGGAAAGTAAACTCATTGATTAAAATATTATTTTGTCAGTAGTCTTAATGTACAAGAGACTTTAAGACTCCACTTGAATATTATAAAACTTTTATTGAACATTGTACAATTTTCTTGCGTATTATAAACTTTTATTGAATATTGTATTATTATAATATAATATTCTCCAAATAAATATATGTCGTGCTTCGCACGGGTCACGTAATATATATATTCCGTACATTTTTCTTTATTCATATATATAATTATAAACATGTATAAATAATTGTGCAGTCCGTGCAGGGCTCTGTACTAATCTATACTTATATTATAAGATTTAACATTTATCATATTTAGTAGGTCAATATGTAGTCAACGGCCAGTTTGCATTAATTACTTTCCCAAAAAAGCAACTTCAATGTCCTTTTTACATGCCTATGTTATGTCCTTTTCACACTGTTACTTAACTAATTAATTATAATCAAATCTTATCCCATTGTACACGCCAAATTATTTATAAACCGTATCTCTTCCCATTGTACACGCCTTCAAGAGTCTTTATCCCATTATTTTTTTTTGTTACCACCTTATAAGGAATAGATAAGGACAGAATAATTGGTCATAGATAATGACGAAAATTCCAAAAATCATAGGCCGACAAATGTATTTTGTTTATCATTTCTCGGAATCCGACTGTCTATTCACATTGTCTGTGAAGAACGAGTCAGATTCCAGTAGATCTGTAAATTGTAAACCGAATTCCAAAACCAAAACGCATTAATTTTTAGAAATATCACCTCGAAACATGCATCTAAATAAAATAGAACAAGAGAAAAATATGCAATAAGTCAAGACCGTTCCAAAAAAAATTTAAATTATTTTTGAAATTACCTACTCACCGTGCTATAATCGACGGGATTGAAATATGACTCTTCGAGCAGATCGACCAAAAATTACAAAAAAATAATCTTAGAAATGTTTGGAAATCGGAAAAATCCAAATCGATTCCCGTCGCAAATCAATATACAGCATGTATTATGATATCTAAAAAACCCAAATCGCTTCCTCCAAATCGTTTATATAGATATGTTTTTATTTGCTTAAACTGAAAACAAATTGACAAAAAAAAAAAAAAAGAAGAAGAAAAAACGTAACGAGTTGATCGGAAATAGAGAGAAGAAGCGGCGGATAAGACAAGGATGAATCTCGAAACAGAATGAATAACCCTAAAACATCGGGCGTGGTTGCCTTTTATATCAGACTCCTTTTATTTGTGGCCGTTAGATATGCTTTGACTTCTATTAGCCGTGAGATCCGTACAGATACAACATATCCAATGAAGTCTGAATTGGGCCAGTGCATACAGTGGGTTGACATTTGATATATTAATGTATATTGGGCCCAATTTTACAAAACATGTACTCGGCCCAGGTTGTTGTAAATATGTGCAATTTTAAAAGCCCATTAATAGATTTAATTATTTATTTAATTGTATTACTAAATAAATCTAACAAATTAAATTATGAGCCCATATACATATGTAACATTACTTCATACATCAGCCCAATTATATAAGTTATTAGATATCATTAATATTACAAGTAAAACATTATATTATTTAGGTTTGTTTTACAAATTTAATATAATTGGGCTTAGTTAAACACATATATTTTTTTATTTAGAAATATAATCTATATATATATAATAAGAATTAACATTTTTCAAAAATAGTAAGCAAAAAAATAGGGAATATTAATTGCATTCCATTTTTGGTATGTTTTTTAATTTTTTTAATAAAAAATCAAATAGCATTTAATGCTAGCACAAATCATGGGATTTGTTATATAGATGCATATTTGAATTTCAAACTTCAAACAAAACATGTCTAAATGTATTTTGAATTTTTTAGGAAAAAAATTTAACAAACACGTTAAAGATGTCATACAATACATATATTTATATATATTATCTTAACATATAGGTTAATTAGTTTCATATCTAAACAATATATATTTAAACAATATATAAACAAATATAATAATTTATCGTACAATACAGATAAATATATAAACAATATATTTATAAACAAATATAATAAACAATACAAACAAATATACAAACAATATATAAACAAATATAAGAACTTGTCACGTGTATATTTTGTACAATACATATA